AACATTCCTTAAGGTAATGAACATGGGGCCAAGAGGGAAAACAAAAGTATTATACTCAGAAGACCAAAAACTTAAAGCGATTGGAAAAAGTCCTGAATCAAAAATAGGGTGTCGAAGAGAGATTTCTAACAAATCAGAAATCCTAGCATTATCAAAAATTGCCTTAGTAGGACCATGGTCCACAAGGTAAGCGTGCCACCTACGGAAAACGACATCAGATTTAGGCCAAGTACGAATACCTCTTTCACGAAGTGGCCCCAGCGATAAAGAGTTTAAAAACGGAGGGCCTTGAGTACAAAGGAATAGCTGACCGACCACCGCTTGTTCGATGGCCTCGACGTTGTTGAATGAAGGACCTAGATAGAACTCTTTGAGTTCGACATTGGCTGGTGCAAGAAAGTTTGAAGTTATATATGGCCGAGTGAGGAGTTTCTGAAAGTCTTCGAAGCTGAAGGAGTCACCAGACTGGGATTGTGAAGTGGCCATTAGGGACGAAATGGAGTTTTTCAGAGTTACGTAGCAGAAAAGCAAGGAGATGAACAGTAATATTGCGAGAGAGAAGCGCGAAAAAATGAGGAGTGATTTAGTGGTGCAATGAAATGACGTATTTGGGGGTTATAAGGGTTTGCAAACGTCGCATCTTTTCAAGCTATGGAAGAAAACAATGATTGAAATTCTTGGGAATTTCGAATGTTGCTGGGAAACACAAAGTGAATATGGCAAAAATTAATAATTGGTATTAATTCTGCCGTATTGGCGGGTAATTGTTGACACACAAAAAGTTCAGCCCAAGTCGAATAGCCCAAGGAATGAAGCCCAATTGGAAGATCCCCAAAAATCAAATAGCCCAAAGAATGACTCAATCAGGCAATGCAGGATAAAGGCCCAAATAGGGAAGCCCATGAACGCGGTAATACCATCGCCCAAGATTTGAACGAATGGATTGCCATGCAGTCGCCCAGAACTGTGCCCCTGTTCTCACCCAAACCTTCGAGCCGCCCAGGATCTTAGCAAACGTAAGATGTTATGGTTACCCAAAGATGCGGTTAATGAATCAATTATTGAGTAGCCCTAAAATGTTCCACGATTCAAGGAATTCAATTGAAGACGATTGAACGACAAAAAGTAATGGCAGCAGTTAGAGAAGGCAGTTCCATGACAAGTTGGCCACTACAAGGAAAGTGGACAGTTATAGAGCGATCAAGCAGTTTTTAAGCGGTTGATCACGAAGAGATCATCCAGGGAGTATAAAAGGAAGAAAAGACATAGAGCAAAAGACCCTCGAATCAAACACTCTCAAACACAAAATATGTAATTTTAAATTTCTTAGTTTAGATTTAAAACACTTCCTTCAATAACTCGTGTGTTTGCGCCCCTTGGAGGCATTCTGTTTTCATTTTCCAATTGTAAAGTCATCGCCAATAAAAACACAGCTTTTTGAGACTTTGTCTCAAGAGGTTTGTCCCTTACACAATTGTATGATCCCTTTTTAATTGTTAGCGACTAACCCACGCGAAACAGAATTCAAGAAAATCAAGAAAAAAATAAAGATAATCCCAACAAAAAGCTCAAATTCTTGTTTTGATAATTCTACCAAAAAATATGGCCATCAATATTTTCAATTCAAGAAAATCAAGAAAAGAAAAGATAATTCCAATAAAAAACTCAAATAGTTCTGAATGAAATTTCTTATTTATACCACTTGAATTTAAAAGACAAGTTATCAGATAACCTAAACACAAATAAAAAATCATTCACATACTAAATTCATCAAACCCACAATAAAAGGACAATGATTACTTTTTTCAAATTCTTCTTCATATGTTGCTATGTCTTTATATATTTACTCTAATGGTGTCTCTTTCATTTTTGTTTTAGCTTTAGTTGAAGAAAATATTTTATGAATATTAGGGTTTTATTTAAACATAAATTCTTAAAAAATGTAAAAAGTCTAAAAGAATTTAATCGAAGTAAATATTAGTGGATGAAGGCGATCTTAGAGCTCTACCTATAACAAGTCAATTAACACAACACTAATTATGTAAGCATTTTGATAGTAAGTGATGACATTTTTCATCCACTTACCGCCTCCCAATTTGTCTCTCAAGTCTCGAATCACATTCTTTTCCAAATAGCTAGGTTTACTATTTTTACCAAATAACTGCCTTTTCCTACTCGAGTCTTCCGCATCGATGCTGGAGACCAACCACATTTTTCTCTACATCAACTCCATACTCCTAAAGGCCACATCCATAGTTTGAATCATGCAATTGAATTGGATATTCTACTCAATTGTGTATATTGAGGATGCTATATTAGTAATATTGATAATGATGTAATTATACCATGATTTCAAATTATGAAAATGTTTAAGCAATATATAAGCCTTGTTTGAGTCCCATTCTTTTGAAAAAAAATATATTTTTCAATAGTATTTTAAATATTTTCAATAGTATTTTGACATTATTTCAACCACACATTTTTCAATAAAATAATAGTACATGCAAATTCAAAAATTTTTCTTAGTTTTTAATCTCACATTTCTCATCAATACATTATTCAAAAATTCATTCTTCCTCCCAAAATGGGGCTCAAACAAGAGCATATATATACACACACAGAGAAAGAGAATTATTTTCATTAATGTTATGTTGCTTGAAAATTTTTTGTAACTTAATTAAATTGATAGCATTAATTGTTACACCTCACTCAATTACAGTCAAAATCAATATATTATATAGTCAAAGTTAAAGCCAAATAAGGATTTAAGTTGGAGGACTGATTTTCATGGGGTTTAAATTTGAAATTGCTAGTACTTAAGAGGGAGCGAAATGATATAAAAATAAATTTTGGGATTTAGCTTCTAGTATGGTAAATAAGATGACTAAATGTTAAATTATATAAAGGTTGGGGACTTGTATTGTAATTATAGTTATGGGGTGAAATTTGAAATGCCTTAATTTAATACTTCTAAAAAAAAGGGAAAAAAAAAAACATAAAAAGGAAACTGTAGGCGGTTATGCCCAAAACAAATCCATTCCCATTGTATTTATATATATGTGTAATCCAAATCCATTACACAAAAAGACACACACAGAGAGAGAAAACGAACTAGAGAGAAAAGGAAGAGAAAAGAGAAAGGAAAAAAGAAGAAAAAAAAATATGAAAGTTCGTCTATGTTGTTAGAAAATAAGTGATCTACGTTATTAGACTTGAATTCTTCAATTTTGAAAGGTAAGTAAAAAGTTACTTATTGTCAAGTTATGTTTGATTTTATAGTTGTTAGATTAAATTCAATTTTTTTTTCAAGGGGTTAAGTGTAATAAACTATGAAATTGAGTAAGATAAAAGAAAAATTGTTTTAGTGATTAAAGAGACCGCGTAAATCGCTTAAATGTGAAATGATTAAATTTGGGCATTACCTATTTAATTATTGAAATTTCTTAAAATAATTAATTGTTGATTTAAAAATTATATCATATTTCTGGCGCCGATATTGACATCGGGATAGCTTACAAACCGAGTTAATTTTGCGAACATAGTTCTGTAAGTGGAAAAATATAAATATTTTTAAAGTATTTATAAATTACGTTTATTGTTAAAGTATTAGCAATTATATGCAATTATGTGTTCGAATTACATGGTTATTATGGAAATATCTTTTATTATGATACATGTGGGATTTCAAAGATTGTATACGTTACATTGTGAATTGGAATATGAGATATAATTTTGATATCGATCAGAAAAGTACCCGTGATTATATATTTCTTTAAGTTCACTGAGGGGCCTTGGTTGTGTTCTATACTATACCGAGGGGTCTTGGATGGGGGATGAAGGGGTCTCGACCGTGTACATATAGTTCACTGAGGGGCCTTGGCCATATTCTAGAATTGATTATGAGAGGTCTTTGAGACCGACTTTCGTTCACAGAGTAGCCAAAGGCCCGTAGCGAAAGTTTTTAGCCTGAGGGGCGGATTACATATTTCAGTCAGAGGGTGCATTTTTTGTAAATTTTTCAGCATCTTTGATGTGATGAGATTATAGCATGGTTATCAGCTGATGTCTATGTCATGATTTTAAGATGATATTTTATAATCTTATGTGAATATTTCACTTCTTGGCTATAATTACATGATGTTATCTTATGAATTATCAAATGATATGAATTTGATTTTCGATAGAAATGTAAAATTGAAAAAGTATATTTATTTTAGAACTTCTCCACCCACTGAGCTATCAACTCATATATTTTTTCGTAATTTTTCCTACAGGTAGCAATTGATTCATTTGAATTGGAAGAGCATAATGATTTCAAAATGAGAGCCACACGACATGTTGAGTGTTATAATTCATATTGATGAAGGACAAAGTAAAAAATTTGGACCCATCGCATTATGTTTTACATAAGCATTTGATTTTGTTACATTTTTTGAAATAACTCATAGTCAGTCTTGGTGATAGATTTAACATCTAGTCAGCATCTATCATCGGTGCACGTCACGTTTCGGATCCACTATGATGATTCGGGACAGATCGTGTCATTAATTTTTCAAACATAATGCAATTATTTGCTTGCATTATTGAAAGCATTATTACTTCCAATCTACGTGCAGCCTTATCAGACCTTTTGTCCCTACTTAATTACTACTTGCCTGCTATTACCAACTTAGCCCCATTTGACCCATATTAAGGGCTTGTTTGAGCCATATTATTTTTAAAAAAATACATTTTTCAACAGTGATTTGACATCATTTCAACCAAATATTTTTCAATAAAATAATTCATAATCTTCTATATATATATATATATATATATTCATCCATTTTAATTTGGAAAAATGGAGGTCAAACGGGTGCTATTTTTATGGCTACTTTATTTGAGTTGGTGCCAATACTTGATGAACTCATCTAATTACTATTTGAGTTCCAGATAATTAAGTAAGTCAATATAAATAAGCCATGCCCACCATACCAAATATAATATTTTATGAACTACTTAGACAAGTCTCAAAGATCAATGACTATCTTCAACCTGAACATTTTCAAGCCAATTTATGCACTTCAAAAAAACAGATTCCAAAACACTGTTTTGCTTTATTTACAAGTACTGCTGCTAATGCTAATCAGCATAGTTTTATAACCAAGATGCGGCCTTGCAGTCAGATTGTGATTAGGCGATCAGGAAACTACAAACCCCCAGTATGGGACTTCGAATATATTCGGTCTTTAGATATTGAATACGCGGTAATTTTCATCATTTACATAAAAAATAAATTCTTCCTTTTTTCTTGCAATCAGATTTTGTTCGTGCATGATCTAGGGAGAGAGATACGCTACACGGTCTTCTGAGCTGAAAATGCAAGTGAAGATGATGCTTGATAAAACAGTAGAGCCACTGGATCAGTTGGAATTGATTGACAATTTGCAAAGGCTGGGGATATCCTACCATTTTGAGAATGAAATTAAGCAAATCTTGTCAGTCATTAACAAAAAATATAGCAAAAATGATCAACAGTCAAAGATTGAGGATTTATATGCTACGGCTTTGGAATTCAGACTACTAAGACAACATGGCTTTAAAGTTTCTGAAGGTGCAAATCAGTTTCTTCTGTTCATTTTCATTCATTTTTTGTGCTTACGCGTCTTATACATGTCCTGTTGAACACAGAGATATTTGATCGTTTCAAGAATGAGAAGGGTGAGTTCAAGTCGAGGCTTTGGGATGATACAGAGGGATTGTTACAACTATATGAAACTTCATTCCTTTCAATGGAAGCTGAAAGTACCCTAGAAATGGCTACAGAATTCTCTATGAAAAACCTTAATGATCAAACTAGTATTGATCAGTGCCATTCTCGATTGGTGCACCATGGCTTGGAGCTTCCATTGCACTGGACCATACTGCGGGCAGAGGCTAGATGGTTCATAAACATATACAAGGACAGGCCAGACATGAATCAGATTCTGCTTGAGCTTGCTAAATTGGATTTCAACATTGTTCAAGCAAAATATGTCTCTAGGTATTTATTGATAAGATGCTGTATTCACTCAAAGATAAATCGACATCACAAGTTGTCTTCAATCAGAGACAACTCAATAAGGAATTTGATGGAGGGAAATAGTCTCTCCTCAACAAATTTGCCTTTCACTTTAGCACTATTTACTTTTATTACGGTTGGAGAAAATGTGTATTAATTCCAACACTAATACATTTGTGCACATTTCTATCTCTATTTTCTCATTTTAAATACATGGGCCAAATATATTGAATTTTGATGTTTAGAAGTAACAAAGGAATTTTATTTTTATTTCTTTCCCTGCGTTTTCTATGAATAGGTGGCGGAAGGGAACTTGCCTTGCCGAAAAGTTGTCATTTGCGAGGGATAGGCTGGTGGAATGTTTCTTTTGGACTACTGGGGTGATATTTGAACCTCAATATGAATTTTGTAGGAAGATATTGCCGAAGGTCAATGCTTTAGTAACAACCATTGATGATATATATGACGTCTATGGTACATTAGAAGAGCTTGAAGTTTTTACAAGAATCATTGAAAGGTTAGAAACATCGTTATTCCTCATTTCAGAACCCCCACCCAAATAAAAAAGTAAAAATTAAAAACGAAGTCCCTTTGTTAAAGGACACACTCAAAGTTTGTGAATACGGAAGTACTTTGTATATTAAAAGGTTTATATGATAGGGAAAATTGAATGATTGACTTATTCAATCTTTAAAAATGGACAAGCTGGTTATTAATTTTATATATAGTTGCAAGATTATATCTCAAGAAACAGTTCAAATCTATTTTAAATTAATCAAAATGTGGTCCTTGCATAATCAACTTCATGAAATTAGGTTTTGTTTTCTAACTTGGATTGGTACGTTGATATTTAAAGCGATGCATGTTTTTATGAGGGCCACACGATAATTTATGAAAATTATGGTTTTCATTAGTGGGCGACCAGTTGCGAAACAATAATAAAATGTAAGGTGCGAACTTTCTTTTCTTTAAAAGTTGAGGACCAAATTTTGGAAAATTAGATTGGTAGTTTATATTAAAGTTTACCCATGTGTGATATATATTGATTTTTTTCCCCTTCTCACCGTTCTAACTCCTATAATTATTATTTGTTTGGAACTCTACAGATGGGATGTCAGTTCAATCCATCAACTTCCAGATTACATGCAAATTTGCTATTTAGCACTCAATAACTTCATCAACGAAATGGCTTACGACATTCTTAAAGAAAAAGGGCTTATAATTATTCCATATTTAAGAAAAGCGGTATTACTTTTGCTTCAAAAAGTCCAATACATAATCCTTGTATCAGCTTCCATATTTAATCCGTATACAGTAATCTTGTCAAATTTGGGAGTGGAAAGATTTATGCAAAGCATACTTACAAGAAGCAAGGTGGTACTTCAATGGATACAAACCAACAATGGAAGAGTATATGAACACTGCATGGATTTCCATATCAACTCATGTCATACTATCCCATGCGTTTTTCGCTGTTACCAGTCCTATAGAAAAGGAAGCTGTTCAGTACTTACTTGATTATCCTAATATAATCCGTTGGTCGGCAACGATTTTACGTCTTTCAGATGATTTAGCAACATCAATGGTGCGCATATAGACTAAAATTTCATTTCATGTTTTCAAGTTCATTTTTGTTTAAGAAATCATTAGCAATTCAAAATTAACCCTTTCAACTAACAGTTTCTTTCGTTTTCTCTCTCAGGACGAAATGAAAAGAGGTGATGTTCCTAAAACAATACAATGTTACATGAACGAAACTGGGGCTTCTGAAGATGAGGCACGTGAACACATTAGATCTTTGATACATGAGACGTGGAAAAAAATGAACCAAGTTCAAGAAACAGTTTGTCCATTCTCAAATTTTTTTTTATTGAAATTGCAGTGAATCTTGCGAGAATGGCACAATACATGTACCAGTATGGGGATGGATGATGCAGGAGGATCCGAGTCGAGTGATGTTGATTTGTCAGATAGCACGATGATGGCGCTGAGATACCATGAGATGGCGGATCGTCGCAAAGATGGAAAGTGAATCGCCATTATTTCCTTAATTGGGGGAATTTGACGCGTCTTTGGTAATTTGGTCATAACTTTGGCTACGGTTATTGGAATCGCTATTATGACCCCAATCCGGAAAGCTCTCTTTGGCGCGCACGTCATGGCCACCCAGTTGTGCTCGGTGAACGTCAATTTCAAGCCCAAAATCCACTGTTTTCCTTTCGAAAATTCAATTTTAAGTTATTTTTTACTATTTATGGTAATATTTCGTTTCCTTTTTTCCATATGTTAAAAAAACTTGAATTGAGCCAAATTTTTGGCAACTTACTTCTTTTACTTAATATTTTATTTTGGTATAATTTCGGGATTTTTCCATTTTTGGTAATTTCCCCATAATTTCGTATTTCGCAGCTATTTAACTCGGCTTGTGGGTTAATTTTGATCATTCTGCATTATTACTAATATTGAATTGAATTCAGAGTATTTTCTCTGGTTTTTTTGGGCATTTTCTGTCGTTCTTTTCTTGCGAATCATCTGCTACAACAAGCCAATAGGATAATCACTATCCTACCCGGCGTCAGTTGGTATCAGAGCGTCAGCATCTTCTTGGGAGATAAATTCCATCAGTTATAATGGTTGGTGGACGTGGTTGTGGTCGTCGAGGACAGGTTCCAATTGAGGAAGTCCCGCTCCGTGTTCGTAATATTCAGGATGTGATGATTGAAGATTTGTAGAGACAAGTTTCGAAGTTAACCCAATGTTTGGTGGAGTATGAGTTCAGTAATCATGATGTGGAAGGTCACGATTTCGATACCAGTTTCGAAAACCCGTATCACCATCATGCTCGAGTTTGGGAGCATCGTAGATGGGAGGATCGTCATGTGGATCTCGGTTTCAGAGTGGATCTGCCCGAGTTTTCTGGTACGTTGCAGGCTGAAGGATTTATTGATTGGCTGAATGAAGTGGAGCGGATTTTTGAATATAAGGAGGTTCCAGATCGTGTCAAAGTGAAATTGGTCGCCATCAAACTCAAAGGTAGGGCATCTGCATGGTGGGAACAATTGAAGTGTTCGCGGAAGCGATAGGGAAAATCCAAAATTACTAACTGGGAGAAGATGAAGAAGAAGATGAAAGGGCACTTCCTTCCTTTTGGCTATACTCAAACCTTGTTTCAGAGGCTTCATTCACTAAGGCAAGGCGCAAGATCAGTCAATGATTATACTGAAGAATTCTATCAGTTGGTGGCTCAGAATAATTTATCTGAGACAAAGGAGCAGATGGTAGCACGGTATTTGGGGGGATTAAGGCAGCCCTTGCAGGATGTTCTCAGCCTTCATTCATTGTGGACAATTTCTGAGGCATATCAGCGAGTACTTACAGTAGAGAAACAGCAGAGTAGGAGGCCAGTAGTCAGAGGTGAAGGAAGTTAGCCAGTTCGCCCTCAAGAATCTCGTCTTGCTTATCAGCCACAGCGAAATAGTTCCAGCTCAAGTATTACGTGCTTTAGGTGTGGTGAACAGGGGCATAGGGCGACTGATTGCAGGAAGCCTGCAAGTCAGAAGAATAAAAATCTTCTGATTGAGGAGGATATGATAGAGGAGTTCGAGGAAGTTGGGGAACCCGTGTATGATGAGGGTGAAGATGAGGACGTGCTATATGGAGATAGTCAGGAGACCCTGGTCGTTTGAAAGAGCCTGCCGACTCCCAAGGACGACTCAGGGGATGATTGGTTGAGGACCAACGTTTTCCACACAACCTGCACAGTTACTGATAAAGTCTGTAGTTGATAATTGATAGTGGCAGTTGTGAGAATATAGTGTCTGAGGAGGCTATCAAGAAACTGCAACTAAAGATGGATCGTCATCCCAAACCATACAAGTTGTCTTAGTTGAATAAAGGCAGTGAGGTAACGGTAGAAAAACAATGCTTAGTGTCTTTCTCGATTGGAAAAAAATATTTTGATAATGCTTGGTGTGATGTGGTATCAATGGATGCGTTTCATGTTTTGTTGGGACGACCTTGGTAGTATGATCGCAGTGTTATCCATGATGGGCGGAAGAATACTAATTCTCTTAGCATCAAAGGGAAGAGAATTGTTTTGGTGCCTCGTAGGGAAGGAAACATCCCTGTCCTGGTAGTTAATAACCCCAATCTACTTTCTATGTCTAGGTTCTTGGTTGAGGTTGGGCGTGAAAATATAGTTTATGCTTTAATGCCTCATGAAAATAGTACAACGAATGTGGATTCAGAATTTCCAGCAGAAGCGCAGCAACTACTGATGGAGTTTTCTGACTTGATGCCGGAGGATCTTCCTCCAGGACTACCACCTATGAGGGACATTCAACATCATATTGACCTCATTCCAGGGTCGAGTCTACCAAACCGACCAGAATATCGCCTCAGTCCCAAGGAAGCTGAAGAGTTGCAGCGACAGGTGGTAGAATTATTGGAAAGGGGCTACATTCGTGAGAGTATGAGTCCTTGTGCAGTTCCTGCTCTACTAGTGCCGAAGAAAGATGGGTAATGGCGTATGTGTGTTGATAGCAGGGCAATTAACAGGATTACAGTGAAGTACAGGTTTCCAATTCCCCGTCTGGACGACATGTTGGATCAACTATCCGATTCTAAGGTCTTCTCAAAAATGGACCTTAAAATTGGATACCACTATATCAGAATCAGGCCTAGAGATGAGTGGAAGACTGCGTTCAAGACACAACATGGGTTGTACGAGTGGATGGTCATGCCCTTTGGACTATCCAACGCACCCAGCACTTTTATGAGGTTTATGCATCAGGTTTTACGGCCTTTCATGGGAAAGTTTGTGGTAGTTTATTTTGATGACATACTTATTTATAGTCTGACATGGGAGTCACATTTTAATCATCTTCGTGCTGTCTTTGATGTAATGAGGACGGAGCGCTTATTCATCAATCAGAATAAGTGTTCTTTCTTCACAACTTCTGTAACTTTTTTGGGTTTTGTTGTGTCTACTGATGGTGTTCATGTAGATCAATCCAAAATTGAGGTAGTTTTGAATTGGCCGAAACCAAAAACTTTGTACGATGTCAAAAGTTTCCATGGATTGGCATCCTTCTATTGTCGATTCATCAGAAACTTCAGTACCTTGATTGCTCCTATCACAGAGTGCCTTAAAGGGCGTGATTTTCAGTGGACTGAGGAGATAGAGGCTAGCTTTCAGTTGGTTAAGCAGAAGATGACGGAGGCCCCAGTCTTGGTACTTTCGAATTTTGAAAAGGTGTTAGAGGTAAACTGTGATGCGTCTGGAGTTGGTATTGGTGGTGTTCTAAGTCAGGAGGGACGTCCAGTAGCCTTTTTTAGTGAGAAGCTATTGGGATCGAAGAAAAATTATTCCACTTATGACCTGGAGTTCTATGCCATAGTTCAGACTCTGAAGCATTGGCACCATTACCTGGTACAGAGGGAGTTCATTCTTTTTACTAATCATGAGGCTTTGAAGTACATTAATGGTCAGCACAAGCTAAGTTGGCGACATGCAAAGTGGGTAGCCTACTTACAGGAGTTTACTTTCACACTCAGGCATCAAGCAGGGAGTTTGAATCGAGTAACAGATGCATTGAGCCGTCGCACATTACTCCTCACCATGAGCACCAAGATTGTCGGATTTGAGGCATTTCCTGATATGTATGCTGCAGATCCTTCATTTGGGAAGATAATTCGGGAGGTAATTGATAATCACCGACATGATTTTATTTTACATAATGGTTACCTATTTCGTGGATTGCAGTTATGCATTCCGGATTGTTCACTAAGGTAGCAGATTATTAGTTAACTTCATAACGAAGGACATTTTGGGCGAGACAAGACATTGGTATTGGTCTCTTCTGATTATTACTGGCCCAAGTTGAGCAGTGATGTGGCGCATTATGTGGAGCGATGTTATGTATGTCAGCGGTCTAAAAGGGCTCTTACTAATGCTGGATCGTACACACCATTACCCGTACCTAAAGCTCCTTGGTTTGATGTCAGTATAGATTTTATCTTGGGCTTACCTCATACACAACGGGTGATGGATTCCATTCTTGTGGTGGTTGACAGATTCTCAAAGATGGCTCATTTTGTGGCTTGCTGGAAGACAATGGATGCTACTCGGATTGTTCATCTTTATTTTAGAGAGATTGTGCATTTACATGGTGTTCCACAGTCAATTACTTCTGACCGTGACACTAAGTTTATGAGTCATTTTTGGAGGAGTTTGTGGGAGAAACTTGGAACGAAATTGAATTTTAGCAGAGCATACCACCCCCAAACAGATGGTCAGACTGAGGTGGTAAATCGAAGTTTGGGAAATATTTTGAGAAGCTTAGCCGGGACTAAACCGAAGCTGTGGGATTTGGCATTACCTCAAGAAGAGTTTGCTTATAACCGGTTAAGGAATAGAACCACCGGCTGAGTCCTTTTGAAATTGTCTATGGTCAGAACCCATCTGGAGTACTTGATTTGGCTCCAATTCCACGTGTGGGTCACTTCAATAACAAAGCTGATGAGATGGCTAAACATCTTCAAGGTATCCATGAGCATGTGAAGCTGTCCATACAGGATAGTAATACTAAGTACAAAGTTTGGGCAAATAGTCATCAACGCCTGGTGTTGTTTGATGTTGGTGATTTTGTTTGGGCAGTATTAACTAATAATTGTTTTCCAGCTGGGGAATACAATAAGCTAAAGGAGCAGAAGATTGGACCTTGTGAAGTGCTGCAGAAGATCAATGATAATGCTTACAGGTTGCGCCTCCCTAGCTATTTGAAGACCTCTGACGTCTTCAATGTAAAACACCTAATCCCTTGTTTTGTGAAGTCCGATGAAGTTAATGTGAACTCGAGGGCGAGTTCTTTCCAACCCAGGGCGACTGATGCAGGAGGATCCGAGTCAAGTGATGCTGATTCGTCAGATAGCATGATGATGGCACTGAGATACTATGAGATGG